GAGAGGGGGGGTGGGGGGACGGGGTATTATTAGTTATAACAGAACCATTACCATACCCCATTTTTCCTATTAAAAGTCCAACACCTAAGTAAAGGTACCTCTCTATTTCCTCTTGGAGAGGAAAAAGACAATAATATTATTAACATTATGGTGACCGCCCCTGGGTCAAGGCTACAAAGGCAGAAAATTCAAATTTACCCAAGATCAGCACAAACCCAAATCTGTGTGTTCAAAGGGGAAACAGAACTGACTCTGAATTCAAATTTTGTTTCGTACACAAGAATCTTGTACATGTTTTTCCCACATAAACATCAACATTACAGTCAAACCAGGTCAAGCGTACCCCCCAAGAACCCATTAATGAATTTATTATTCAAAAGGTGAATCTGTTGCTAGTTGTAGATTTCAGATTGATCTCTGCATTCTTGTATGTGTAATGAGCCGTGAATTCACACGAGAGGCAGTTATGAAATTTCTACCAGCTCCATTTTCCTGAAATTGATGTAAATGTCTTCTAAGAAGCTTAATCCATTCAAAGATTTCCAATCTGACCAAATACAGAGAAGTTCTCGTAAAATATTCACTGCTCATTACGCATGCAGAAATGCCGCTATGAATTTGACACCAGTTACAGGAACGACTAACGGGTTCATTTTTCAAATAATCAATTCACTGATAGAATCTTGGGGGGTACGCTTGACTTGGTTTGACTGTAAACAGCTTTTAAAAAGCTGTGTAGAGGAGTTGATTTTAACTTGGTCATACAAACCTATCAAAAAGCCTTTAAATAGCTGCTGTTGTTGCAACTTTTACCTTACTTAAATAACTTTGCTTTAATACATGCTTTACACCTTTATCCAAAAATGGGCATATGATAATTATATGCCCAAAATAAAAACATTAAAAGACAGTCATGTCTCAAAATAATTGACACGATTTCTTTGTTCCCATTAATAACAAAGTTCACTGAAGTTGCAGTTGTATAATAATTGCAAATATTTTTTTAGACTTTCTCAAAGCCCCTTTCCAGTTTCTGCTGGTTAGGTGGTCAATTGGGAAACAGACCTTGCAATTTCCGTTGCTCACATTCGTTCGCTTTGAGAGTGTCCCATGCACCTTCGGCACTCACACAGTCGACTTTTGGCAAGTCTAAATTTTTTTTTTTACTTAAGGCTTCAATCAAGGTTATGAAATAATAATATAAAAACATGAAGTGGGAAAACATTTACTATGGACCATACTCTGCAATGCCTTGTCCTTTTTTTGTATTTATCAACCTTGCATGCATAATTTATTTTTCCATGCAAGATCCAGTTTTCTATGATTTGACAACACAGGGTGAATGTGACCTCACTTATACATAAACAGAGGAGACACCATTAAGGGGATAGCCTTCGTCCAGGACATTTGAGTGTTGCAAAAGTAGGCGTGCCTCAATAGACATTACTAATACCAACATTATGTGAGCCATATTGGCGAACAACATTTGTGTCCCTTGAATGGTGGCGTCCCAAGAGAAAGGTTTCACTACATTATTACTTTTTTTCCAAAAGGCTACGACTTTAGAACATTATTTTACCTTAAATAAATAAATCATTTTTTTCTAATAAAATAAATCTTTACACCCACAAGCATTTTAAAGATTGTAAGGGGAAATCATGTTTAGTTTACTGCAACCTCTGCCTTGCATGCAAGTCGTATACTTGACTCCTGCAAAACATATATTAGTGTTTATTAGTATACAATGCAAGACCTTTAAATTACCATATATGGTAAAAACTGTATCAAGCAGACACTAATGGGATCCTCACAGTTGTCTTCTAAAATACATGTTTGTTTGAAAAGTTTAGGGCTAAAGGCTGTTCGTGTCTGCTTATCAGCTTCCAACTTTTCAGTGAAACTGAATTTAAAACCTTTAGCATTTAAGGTGTTTGATCTAGAGGCATCACTTACCCAAGCATCCAACACGGAAGTAACTGAGTACATTTCAGGCATGCGCTGAAGTCGCGAAGAGAGCTGCCTCTGAACTTTCTGAAGAAATGGATTGGCATCTAGAAAGAGAAGCATGATTAAAGATCAATAATATTTCTATTATTTTTAGGCAGTTTCATGTCAAGAGTATTGTAAGGCACTGGCCAAAACTGCAGTGTTCATCATGTCACCAAAATGAGGCAAATGTATAGGGAATGTTCCTTGCTGTGGAAACTAGTATAATTGGGGGATTAAGATCCAATAAGAAACATACTATAATTAGAAGTCTTGCACTCAGGACTGGAATATGGGTAGTTGGATGGAACACTGATTTCTATCGGTGGAACTGCTGGCAAATTCAGATCATCTGCAAAATAAGTAACAATAAATTTAAAATAGAGTTGCAAACACAAATGTCAGCCAACAGGTAAATCAGTCTACTATGTGCAGAACGTTGATTGAAACCACTTTGAATTCTGCATCACAACAAAATTTCTACCTTCACTATCAGACCACATAAACTTGATAGTTTGGCTATGAAGCAGACATTAAGGCATGTGGTGAATAAAATACAATGGAGCCTCCATGTCCAATCACCTCTCCCAAGCAACAACCTCCCACCCATAAGTGGCTACCTATCCAACACACCAAAATTGTCCAAGGCAGGGGTTTGACTCTGAAGATGAATACCGCACAGGTTGTCGAAACATCAGTCACTGTCAACAACAACAGTCCTATTCAGGACTATGTTCACCCCGACGATCAAACTCAACCTACTTTTGGAAGGGCTTATAGTTGGAACATCTTGTAAATGACCACCTCTTGTAAGCGACTGCGACCACAACCAATTTTAAGGAGGACAGTTTTAAAATTTTTCATTGTCTTTAACCTCCTCTACGCAACCACCTGATACAATGGTCTGATCTTTGTTTTCAGTGTATGTACTACACTACTCAGAGTATACGAGAAGCATTTTTAGAAACAATGTGGATTTACATTACTGTATATGGTAACATAAAAATTGCATGCAATACATTCTCTCCAAAAATTAAATGTGTTGGGACTTCTGCTAATGAAAGACCTCCAGCAGTTTAACTCTTGCAAGCGACCACCTTCCATAAGCTACCACTAACTCTTTGCATTTTGGGTGGTCGCTTATGGAGAGTCTCTAGACAAAGTACCAAAGTCTTGCGACACTCAAATGAAATTTAATAATGAAACTGAGTTCTACGGTAACTTGTGAGTTTGTGGATCTTGAGCTTCACTAAGTGCTCGCAAACTCATTAACTGTCTTAAAGACGGGTCTGTAAGACCACTGTATAGCTTACTTATTGAGCACTGAAGCAACGTGTTGCTTTGTACAACTCCTGTGTTAATACCAGGCTTCACTTGAAATCGGCTGCACAGTCGAGCCAGCTCGCCTTGCAGTACATGTGGTACATTACACTTCCTTTCATTGCTATCTGCCAGTTTGATCCTCTTAGCAGGTGGGGGTAAAGGGCTGAAAAAAAAAAGGCAATCCAAGAGAAGCTTGTTAGTATAAAACTCTCCATTGTTATACAAAGCACAAAATCAAATTACTTTTCTTGTACAATGACATGCTGTAAACCTAGAATTTCAGGAAGACTTCCCTCATGAAGATTGATCAACAAAACACAGCACCAAGATTCTGAAAAGAAGTACCACTGTTTGACAGTCCATGCATGCAATAAGTAGTACTTGAAAAACCCCTTCCTTGCATTTTTATCTATGATTGTATTCACTGAAACGTTTACAAATTCAGTGAAAGTCAATTTTGGTTTAGCTCTGGCTTCAAGTTACCGAGTGCCTGATTTACCAGTACACTTACAGCTGTAATTCATAAGAGTAGGAATATTTTATTCTTAAACCTGAAGGAAGGGCTATCATGCAGTTCAATTAACAGCTATGAGCTAACAGACAGCAAAACGACAAACACCACTATTTTCCTGGTTTCCCTTAACAAAAGCAACACTACCAAGTAGATTTTGTTAACATAACATCACATGGCAGGTAGGTTATAAAAAGGCATTGTTATGTGCTCGCAAACTACATAGTAGCAAGCTGGCAATAGCTGAAAATAGACTGATGTTGTGTCTTATGCCACTTAATAACCATTAACTTGCTGACATACGTTATAGGGGGTCCTTCCATGGCTTGCAGGAGTGGTGAGAATGTCCTTTGTAATGTATGGCTCAACATAGGGGACTTGGCATGTCTTGAAACAGCATCATATAATGGCTTGCAGATGGCTTGGGTAAGCACTACAGTAGATGCTGTAGTTGTTGTTGAGGCTGTTGGACCTGGCTTGGTGGTTACATTGGAAACATCACCACCTGATGGTGTTGGAGGTGCTGGTGGTGTGGGGACTGATGGCTGTCAAAATGAGTACATGGCTAGATCTAAGTATTTGTAAGACAAATAACCCACAACCACTAATACTTCCCTTCTCTGTGCAATGCAGAAAATCGCAAGTTTACCAATAAGTTACACAATCATCTGTCACAAACCTTCATCCCAGCAACTTCAGAAGATTTCTGATGATTTTACGCAGACTTACAAACGTTACCGAAAAATTTCTGAGGATGTTCCAATGACTTTGGAGAATTTTGAAAGTATTTACAAGGCAACAATTTTGACATGCTGCGATACAGTACAACTTAAGGCGCCTTTTTGGAATATTTACAGGGAAACTCAATTGAATTTTTGTCATTAATCAAGTGTTAAAGAGCAATTCATCCGGATTTGTGAGTAGACGTGAGAAGTTTACCTTGATGACTGAGATTGATGCCTTTCGTCTGCAAGCATAAGACTCATGTATAATGCAAGAGAGTTGGCAGGCATACCATAGGGTTGAGTGGTAATACTAGTTACCCACCTGCAGTGTGAGTGTTGTGAGGTTTGTGCTGCAGGCAGGGTTCGTACACTTCTTCCCGCATAAAATTCAAGGACTTTCAAGGACCACATTTTAAAATTTCAAGGACCTTAACACACATTCCAAATAAACTACGAATATATTTTGATAATAATCAGCTTTTGCTCTTTGGGGCAACCATTTTGAAAATTTTTGTGTGAGTCCATACCTGACTTTCATTTCCTCAATGCAGATTTTATTCTGCTGGCTTCAAACCAGTATTTGCAAATTGTTTTGGAGGTTTAAAAATGTTCCTCAATTAAAATTCAAGGACTTTCAAAGACCAAAATGAATGCAGAAGAATTTCAAACCTTTCAAACCCTTGAAAAAGGAGTAGGACTCTAAAATTCAAGCGATTTCAAGGGTTTTCAAGACACATACGAACCCTGTGCAGAGAGCACCAGAATACTTAAGCACTCTGGCATCTTGTCATTCATTAGGGTAAATTACACTTACCGGTAACAATCATATAAATATATTTTTTTATTAAGTGAACTATGACCATACACTTGTACGTCACAGTTCAAAGAAACAGGGGATCTAATAGCTGCAATCCAATAGGAGCTCAATTTTGTAAAAAAAAAAAACCTTAAAATATTAAGTAACCTCCGTTCATGCAACACTTACAGGTTTCAAAGTGATGAGCTTTTTCAGCACATTTCCACTGTTTTCCAATGCTTGCAATGAAAGCCTATAATAATTATTTTTGAGATAAATAGTTTTAATTGCTCATAATATCAATTAACACATTCTATTTCTGGATATCACAAACACTGAAAAATTACTAAAAGCTAAAATGTATAACAGCAGCTTCAAATCTTTACGTTGTGGTATGCACATGTTTAGCCATTTTAGACTCAAGAAAGTCTGTGAAATGATTTGCAATAATAATCTCACAACGACTAATCATAAACAAAAAGCTGTAATATTGTTGACAAATTGTTGTATATTTGGAACAAATGACTTGTCCATTACTTTGCTGGTTTCACCGTGGAACTTTTGGCTCTTTGCACGCAGTTCTGCTTAAAAACTGCACAACTGTTGGGCAGCCAAAACACATTGACGCAAACAGTTTTTGTACAGGAAATCGCTTAACCATTAATTGAAGACCATGTGGTACAATATTAGACAAAGACCATCTGGTATAATGGACTTAAAATAACAGAAGAATGTAAGTGCCATGTTTTTATAAATGGAGAAATTTGTGTGACTTACAAAGTGAACAAGGCAAATAATATACCCCAACCAGGAAACATTAAAACTGTCTGCAAAGATTTGCCTTTAATTAAATAATTGCTCACAATAATTGTTATTGTGAGCAACACTCACATACCGTTTAGATTGGTTTGTTAGGATATCATGCAGATGCTTCAGTTTGTACAATTCTCTGCTGGAGTGTTCTTAAACAACAAAGTAATAAAAATAATTTTCATATTAATTAAACTGGGATTAAATGAGACTTTTAACAACATAGAAACACCATTTAATACATCAAAAGAAACTTATGACAATAAACAGAAATTTTTTTTTTTCTTATTAATCCAGATTTGTCACTCACAAGTTGTTGTGGTAAGGTAATATTATGGTGACTATGATTGTTACAAAAGTGGTAGAATGTTCTAGGCTCTCAGTTAGAATGGGCAAAAAAAAAAAACAAGAATAGCTTGGGAAAGGAAGGAAGGCCCTCCCCCATGTCTTTGCCCAGTCCTTGCCTTTAATTTTCTCACACTCAGATGTTTTTTTTTGTTTGTCCCAACTGATAGTGTGGAAAAGGCACAAAAAGTTAGTCATATACATTGTGATTTTTTAACTGCAATCTGCAACTGTTTTTATAAGATAATAGGGTCTTTACAATCCAACAACACGACATCAACGAGAACGTCAAAAAACAATAGGTTTAATAAGCAAAACAACAACTTGTTTGCCATTTTTGTACTTCTACGATGTGAAAATGCCTAATTTCACATTTTATGGAGAACATAAATAAGCAACCATAATTTTTTTTCCTGAACTTGGATATGGTCCCTTGGAATTCAACTTCAGGAGGGTTTGCCTACATTTGACAAAGTAAGTGGGTAGGAATAATCGCTTCAAAGACTGAAAGAACACAAATTCACTTTTTAAGCTATGTTCTTGTTGCCTAATGTAGCTCTATTTAGAGATGGTTAGGTTGCTGTTTTAGATGGACACAAAAACAAGGTAGAGGGAAACATAATTATTAAGAAATATGGAAGACAGAAACATGGTGACATGACCTAAATTGTCATTTTTTTTTCTGTAGAACTGCTTCACCATATTCCAAACAAAGTTGAAAATTTATTTTCCCACCCACATGTGTACAAGAGAGACATGGCTGAGATTTAAGAAAAATTTCAAGGATCCCACCGGCCTGAACCTATTAAATTCATGGTGTTCTGCATACCATTAGCACGAAAACTTCATGTATGATCCAGGGTGCAAAGAAAGTCAGTTTTACAGCTTGCTATTCAGGCAAGCTGTAGCTAGCATGCACACGCCCACAAGTCATTTCAACTAGCCCCAAAACCCTTTTTGATTACCGGGTAATAGGATTGATTAAAATCCTTCTACAATTTGAATTTCCCAAAAAAGAGCACTTGCCCGTCAGGCAAGTTAAGAACAAAAATCACTAGCCCAATAGCAAAATCCACTAGCCCCGGCCTATCGGACACGACTTTCTTTGCACGCTGTGTACCATAATAAAGATCTCCTTATTGAGCAAAGCCTAGGCTCGACTCTGCCCTCTCCTGGGTCTGGTCTTTGATCCACCCTGAACAGTGGCTGGTAATCAAGCCTAAGCACAGCCCTCAAAACCAACCTTTATCTCTGTTTTCCCTGTTCAACTTGTTCATCATCCTGGCCAGTGGCTGGACATAAGGTTGCAGTTCTTGTAACTGAAATTGAGCACGTCTTTAATTACTGGCAGACTTGACTGTAACCAAGGTCAGACTGCCTGCAGTCTTTGCTTCTCAAAAAAGTTCAAAAGCAAGTAAACTCTTGATTGCAGTGATCGTATGGAAAATAGGGGGCTGTAAACCATGTCAAAAGTGGTGGTAAAGGCTATCTATACTCTCGATGGATCTCAGGATAGAAACCATTGCTCTTGAGAATCTTTCTTCATAATGTCACTCCACAACATTGATTATTCCAAATCCCTACCATACTGTTTGAACACTGTTTTAGGATAACAGTGCAACAATGACAACATTCAAGGCTCGAAAAAAACTTGGATTCCAGCTTGTCCTTTGGGTAAGCAGCTCTCAAATTTTGATTGCCCGAGGCCACTTCTTGCTCCTCTTGGTTAATGACTTTATTAGAGCTTGACTTGCCTAGACCCTTGCCCATTGGGTTACTAACTTTTAAAAGCTACTTGCTTAGCAAGAAAATCTATTTGTCCCAGACTGCCGGAAGGGACTTTCTTGAGCCCTGAACATTAACTTAATTTTAAGACACACCTTCTCCAAATAAGCCTGTTCTTCAGCAGGATTGAGTGGGCTGGCTACAGGACCAACAGACCCTGGGTTCAGTATTGAAGCTGGTGACTGGACATTTGTGGTGCTAGGCGTGGGCACTGATGCAGGGGCTGCTGGTGAAGCTGCTACACCATGCTGTACAAGAAAATTGAAAATCTTTATCATAACAAAATAGCCAGAAAAATACTATTGCAAAATGTTATTTACAGTTTTAAAGGCAGAGGACAAGTAAGGCGAGGTACCGATAAATAAGAAAAACTGTGTACTAAGTAAAATCCAAGTTTGTTATTTAGTCTGGCAGTCCCTAAGTTGTCATCATAGATGGTATTATTTTAAATAATTTTACAAAAAAGTTAGTAAATTGTCACACACACAAAATATGTTGAGGCACTAACTTTATTTAGGCACCGTTGCAACTCTGATTACAACTCCAACTTTAACTTCAACTCTACCACTAGTGAACTAGTGTAACAACCATATGTGAATGCAACCTTAATGACATCTTACCTGAGGAGAAGGTGAAGGGTGCTGCATAGCAGGAGATGGAACAAATGGAGGTGCCGGTGATGGGGCAAAAGTGGGCTGGCTTGTGTGAGCCGTGTGCTGGGCAGAGGAAGGAGTTGGTGCCCGCATGGTAGAAGTGGATGACATTGTTGCTGCTGTAGGAGAAGGAATGTGTGGCATGCGTTGAACACCATGCTTGGGTTGTTGTGCTAAAAACAAAAAATTACCGAGCATTATTTCTTTGGTGTGCAATGCTTCCAGAAAATTCCTTCCCAGAGAATACAAACAAAAATGTTATTCATATTCAAAGAACACTACTATGCCCAAAACCAAAACGCTGAATGTTTTTACCAGAAACAATGCAACTTTAGCTGGCAATTTGCTTACAAAAATCTTCAGATTGTGGCTAAAAGAAACAAAATAACTCTAGTAACAACAGTCAGTTGGTAACGGATAAAGTAAGAAAAAAACTTCAGTAGCTACTGATAGTCATACTAGTTTTGACAATTAACTTGTTTAATTTGCATAATCAGTTTAAACATAGTAATATGGTATGGCTGACTGTGTTAAAGTATACAATTTAAAGATATCAGAAGACATGTAGAGTGTATCTAGAACTCAAACAAACCTTGATGAACTGTTTGCTGTTGAACAGGCATTGGAGATACCACTTGTTCAGCTGACACATTAACATGTGTCTGTGATTGACTCAATTGGTGATGTGCCATTTGACCCTGTGATCCAAAACCACGAGCAGCCTGCTGCTGACCGAGTAATGTTTGAGTCTGCATTTGTTGTTGCAAGAGATGCTGACTAAGAAGCTGTTGTTGAGTCAGTCCCGACCGGTCAAAGACTTGACCTTGACCTTGAGCTTGCGATAAGCTGGCAGGCAATTTGACAGCCTGTTGTAGGTGTTGCATTGGCAGCTGCTGTGGGGTGTTCTGGGTGCCTCCCATGGCACCAACTCCTTGTTGCTTGGTAATAGCAGCTGTTGGAAATTGCGCTCTCATTCCAGGCTGTGGAGTCATGTTAACTCCTTGTGGTTGTTGCTGCCCTAGAGCAGTGGGTCCTATTATTGAAAGTAACTCATCACTTTTAATAGTTACCTTCCTTAAGTGCACAAATTAGCCACCCTTCCCCACCCCCTTTAAATAAGCACTGCCCTTTAGGTTAAAATATTAATTAAGCACTTCTTCTAATTAAGCCCCCCCCCCCCGCCCCACCCCCTACTATCTTTACTGAATATAATCTTCAATGAATAAAGTACAACATATACAATCACTAGAGAATGACCCATTTGAGGACATCACACAGTCAAATGGTAAAGATGCAGCTCCTCTGGCAATAACCTGAGATCAGGCCCAATTTTAGCATTTCTCATACATTCTCTCTAACGGCTACCGCTAAAATTGGGCCTGACACAAACTCTCTCACGTTTGTGCTCGTTACGGCCAGATTTTGGCCATAAAGCTGATTGGCTTTTAGAACAATGCCACAAGATCTGACTGGCTGTGGGAAACGCCAGAAGTTGAAAGCGCTTATTCCTCGCGTGGTTGTTTTCGTGAATGATCCATCGGCGGCGGAGAGAAGGATCAATTTTGCTGTCGGTTTTATTGTTTTACGGTCTTATGGTAGGAAAATGTGCCTTAATATGTGCCATGGAAATTCAGAAAATTCATATGGTTGTTCATATCTTCTCACGATTTGCTTTAGTTACGGAACTAATGTGAGTGTATAGTGGAGTTGAATCCCTCTGCAAGTTGTTGACCGCTTACAAGGTGCCTTTTGATTTACCATCAAACGAGTGCAAATCATCTTAAATCTTAAATCTTAAAACTGGTTTCATTTGAAAGTTTAGCCGGGAATGACTTCTCAGAATGGGGTAGGCAAGCGGAGGCTCACTGCGAAAGAAACCTCAATCGCCAACTGTGAAGCGTTAGACGAAAAATATCGCATCGCTGTTTAAGGAATTTTTGTAGGCATTATTATAAAAGCTGGTGGCTTAAGGTAACAGACTGGTTGTTTGCCTTCGCTTTTGGTAAAAAACAAACCAGAAAAACTGGTGTCCTCGCTTATTGGCTGTTTGCTTTTGTTTTTAAAGATTTATGTACTGAAAATCAGGGAAAATTGCCAAGGAAAATATTAAGGAAACAGAAAAAGAAATTTCACTATTTTAAATTTGAGCGCGCCTAGCCAGAATATTAAACCTAGTAGAAAATTGTGTTGCCGTCTTTTCGAAAACTTTTCACCTTCTACGCCAACAGAAATAACCTTTGAGATCCCCCTTAATCTCGCAAGAAGTTACTAGTAAATGTGATTGTGCTGACTGTTTTATTTTTAGCTGAAAAAATTAACAGTTAAAGCTTTTGTCTGCATTTTTCCCACGCGTGAAAAATTTGCATACTAGAAAACAAGCAACGGAAGTAATTTTGGTTGGCTTATTCGGTAAATGTCAATCAATCAAAAAAATGGGCGGCAGATGTTTCGTAGAAGGTTTGTATCAGGCTGTCTTTTCGTTTCGCCTTGGCCGCCGGAATGTTATTTTCAAAGCGAAACGAAAATAGAGCCTGATCTCAGGTTACTCTGGCAATAGTGCTTGAGTACAGTGACAAAAGTTGGTTACACCAAGACGATCATTATACTGAGACAACCACACCCCTTACAAAATCTGCCAACCACTCTCCGTCAAAAATTAAATGAGTATCCCCAGGTGCTAATTTGAACATTACAGTAGCTTAAAAGTGTTTTAGATCAAAATTTTAGAAATCTATCAAGAGGAAATTCATTTTGTAACATATCAAGAGATAAAAAATAAGAATCAGCTGGCAAAGGTTATCAAAAAATTTTGAAGTAGACGGCTGAGTTGTCCAGTTGTTGGCCAGTCCAGTCCAGCATTGTCAGAAAATTTTGAAGTAGATGGCTGAGTTGTCTAAGTAAGTGGCCAGTCCAAGGATATATAGTCCATCCATAAAGAAATGCCAAGCAAAGTAGCCGGCCAATACTAACCAAGTAGGCAGCGATTTTCGCTGGCAGCCGACTACTTTTGACAACCCTGAGCTGGTGAATTAGATACTGTTGAATACAATCACTGGCCATTATGATAATGGTTCATGCAGGAACGATAATATTCCAGGGGGGCCGGGGAGGAGGGGGGTTGGACTCCAATATAAAAGGATGGGGATGCTTGTTGCTTAATTATAATTGAACCCCAATGATGGCGCAATGCACAACCCTAAGGGGAAAAAATTTTGAATTTCTATCCAGAACACCCTAATTCCCGACTGAACCTTTCTACCAGCACATGCTGCAAAGTTTAAAGCATACAAAAGAAATGTCTGAGTGTTGCTTACTTATACCTCGAATGTCTCGAATGTAAACCAAAAGACGTGCAACATATGACAGGTAGTCAACCTGAAAAGAAAATGAAAAATTTTGTTGAGTTAATACATCTTATGACAGTTACTTGTAGACGCTGTGAATCAAACTTGTGAGTCTTAGCTACTATGACAGCCGGTGTTCCATTGCCACCAAGGGACTCAATGGAAACCTTTCTGAAATTTAACAAACTCACTCAAACATCTCACTCAAAGTCCCGTTCAAAATCAGCACTGTTTATGAATAATAATTATTATTACCCCATTTCCTCCTGGGAATTTTGCCGAATAATGCCCTTTAAAGCTATTCAAGCCATTTTCTGGTTACTGTGTGGTTAAAATGAACCAAAACTGAAAGACAATCTTTGTTATGTATCCGGCACTTCCTGGACTTCTTTTCCACATGCTAAATATCAGCTTCCAAAGCTTGAGCATGTGCAGAAAGCAAAGTTTTGAGATTAAAAGAGACAGCAGTCTCGACTTTTACTTTTCTCTCCTCCTCCTTACGTTTTCTTGCCCCGTTTTTTGTTTAGCTGGCCATTAAGTATGCTTCAATTTGAAAGAAAAAGTTCCTGGAAAAGCTTTTAGTATCCTAAGATTAGATGGAAGGAAGTGAAGGTGGGTAGTGGAACAAGATTTCCATTGGAATTTTCTGCTCAATTTTACACGGTTTTTAGTGTTTTTCACAGCACCCTTACTCAACTGAATTGTGCTCATTCCAGTATGGTTTGCAATATCTCTTTTCCACGTAAAAGTTAAGAATCACAGCTGCCATTAACCGTTAAAAGTGAATGCACCACAGGTGGTAGAAGGGATGTGGATCGGCAAAGGTGGTTACAAGCCGTTCGGGAGCAAATTAGTTAACTAAAGGTCAGAAGTGTAAACAAACAGTGTAAGATAAGCCTAAAACTCCAGAAATTAAAGTATAGATATATATATATATATATTTTGTAGCACATTCTTTAAATTGTTTCTTTAATTTGTGTCTGGGTATTTGGTGTGGTTGGAACCTTGGTAGACGACTTTTAATAAGCTCCCATTATTTTAAGAGGTTTCACAGATATAATATCAGGTGTAAAATAAGCATATAAACCATACAAGAGAATCATACAATAAAGCTTGCATTGACCACTGTCATTCGCTTTTAATACACGTACAAATATATCGTAACCTCACTTTTCTCTCTCTAATGAAAGCCATTTTACATTACAGATGTCAGAACGAAAATCAAACAAGAACTAATGAGACTTTGGCGACGTTCGTGAAACGATCAGAATCAAAGTGTATTCAACAGGATTCAAAACAATATCACAAAATCAAGGCAATATTGCAAGTAATAAAGCGTTCCTTACATAATGAAACAATTAAAGAATGTGCACAAACCTTTGTTTTCGCCTTGAGATACACTTGATTCTCCATTTCACTGGGGTTTTTCATCATCACATTTGGATTGCCAGACTTTTTTACCGCTTCCTCTCTGAAACGGAAATACGAAGCTAAGCACGTTGAAGAAAAAAACACATTTAAAACAGCTAAATAACAGTTTGTTGACAAAGCCAGACGATAAAGGAAACTCTCTGCTTTACGAAGGCAATTTGTCTCCTGCTTATGATCAAAACATACATCTGAGAGAGAACTTTCTGACGGAATGCCATGGAGCGCCAATCGTCAGCCGTATTCGACGCCATCTTGGTATGATGTTGAGTGCAAAATGGTTTCCAGACCTCTATGTCAAAATGGGTTTGAACCAATCAAAATGATCAAAATGTACTTTGAGGATGTTGAACGCGATTTCCGGTTAGCTTGGCATAAAACCCCCACACTTTCCGAAAGTGATAATACTCGACCAGTATCTTGTTGATTTATTTGATTGTTTAGAAATTGACAACAAAGGTCTAATAGTTTGAATTCAAGAAAATGGAGAATGCGAATTCGTGGTCTCTGTTGATATGGTCTCTCTGTCATTTTGTGCCGCTGCGGAACTTTTAAAAAAACTTATATTAAAAGGTCACACGGGCTGTTTTCAAAACGCCAAATGTTCGTGACCTAATACAAACATTTATATTACTTGTCTCCTAACCCTAAATTCTTAAATCTAGTTCGCGTTATCTAGCTGGAAAGCAAATCTAGGGATGAGACAAACGCAGATGAGACTGCCGGTCATTTAATGGTGACTTTATATTTAAAAACTTTGACAGGATGTGGGTTCTTTAATTTGGACTGTTTGTTTTTAAAAATGCTCGAAAATGCTATGAAGCAACTTGCGCCGGTGTGGGAAGGTTACGAAAAATATTTTGTAAGCCTGCGCCGAGTAAGCCCTTGATTCAGGGAGACTCCTTCCCCACCCACGCGAGTGGCAAAAGGGTGTAGTTAACAATTATGAGTGCAGTGAGCTTATGAAGAAAATATTTACCGCTAGCAATTTTCTTTTTTTATGACTCTTCTGATGTTTTTCTTCGTCTTCAATAACATTCCACGTAACAATGCAAAGAATTTGTTAGAGAATTTTGACCGCCAAGCAGTTTGAAACATCTAATCTCGACTCAATGTCAAACGAAATGCTTTTTCGCGTGTTGGGGTCAAAATTTGGAATGGGATACCTCAAATTCTTAAAGAAAGACCGAAAAAAGCTTTTAAAAGATCACTAAAAGAAATGCTGCTCGATATTCTTGAAACTGAAGACTCCTATATTGATGTGGATACGATCATCGTGAAAATGAAAAAAGTAATTCTCTTGTTCTTTATTTTCTATTTTATTTTTAAAATTCCACTTTAATATTGTCCTTCCATTTAAGTAGAATAGTATCTATTTAATGTAAAATGTATATACTTATATAACGTCTAATTTCTTTGTATTTGTCTAGTTTGTAGTAAATTATGTAGCCTGGCCTGCCTCGAATAGCCTCGCT